TTCTATCGATGAGGACCTCAAGTTTTCCTCGCACGCGCAAGCGACGGTGGCCAAATGCAACAGGATTCTAGGTTACATTCGTCGGTCGGTTGCGAGTAGGACATCTCGCGTTATTCTTCCGTTGTATGCGACGCTGATAAGACCCCATTTGGAATATTGCATCCAGTTTTGGAGGCCTACAAATAAGGGCGATTTGTTGGCGCTCGAGGGAGTACAGAGGAAGACCACAAGAATGATTAAGGAGGTCATGGAACTATCATACGAGAAGCGTTTAGAAGTGTTGGGACTGTTCTCGCTCGAACGAAGGTTAAGGAGGGGCGATCTCATCCAGGCTTTCAAGATAATTAAAGGAATAGATAATGTCGAGTGTGGTAGGTTTTTCCAGTTTGATGGCAGCAAGAGAACGAGAGGTAACCGACTTAAGTTGCGCAAACCGCAGGTGCGGCTCAGGTCAAGACAGGAATTCTTTACTTGCAGAGTGGTGAACGCGTGGAATGCGTAAGATGACGAAGTAGTGGCTGCCCCATCTGTGACTATCTTTAAGAAGAAACTGGATGCTTTCATGGACAGGCAAAAAGGTGGGGGGCAATGTTGACGTTAGGTACTAGACAGTAAGCAACTAGGATAGGATAGTCAAAAAACAAAAAAACAAAACGCACAAAAATACATAGCTTTAAGAGGGTTAGACCTACCCTAAAATTAAGGAACGCCCGACCTCGACACGTGATATCGGAATGGGCGAAATCGCCTCTTGATGTCACTATCTTGAATCTTGAATTTTCCTTCTTTCTGGTTTAGAGGCACGCCCAACAAAAAAAGCAGCTATTCACCCGGGACGCCAAAAAGTGAAGTCGTACCAGTAGATCTAAATATATAAGTTACTACAATTTTGTCATCCGTTGCAATCCTATTGGCGTGTCCATGCCAAATCATGAGTCAAATGAATCGTTTCGAGAAGCTACGAGCATCACTTCTTTTCACGTATAATCTAATACTTTAATTATGATAATAATAAACAGAGGTCAAAAGCTGTGGTGACTGTCACTCCTATCGCGCTAGGCCTATGATGATATGCCATTCTTGGTCATAGGCCACGCCATCCACGGCCTAAAGCGCCAGGCCTTCAATGCTCTGCTTTTCTGGGACATAGGCGAGGCCATAAAAATTGAAAGAGGCCAAAAGCAGTGGTGAACAGTTGTCACTCATTCGCGGCCTAACACGCAAGACCTACAAGGCTATGCCATACTAGGCGATTGACTAGGCCAAAAAAAAAAACTTTTCAAAATTTCCGCCCATTAGACGGCCAGCATAGCGGCCGCAGGCCGCTAATGAGTATTGAATTGCACGCAGGTGGAATGCTAAATGGAGATTCTGATTCCTGCAAAAAAAAAAAACAAAAAAAAACAAGGATATTATTTACTCTACCTCAACTCTACTTTCTATGGTTGGGGAAAGATAAAGACGCAAGCCAGGCCCATTGCATGCTTGAGCATCACCTGGTTTACGGTTTTTCCGAGCACCCATGGTCCTTAAGACTGGGTACGCACTACGGGATATTTAACCTGGTGGATGACAAGTTTGATAATACGAAGCGCAAATCCGTCCGCACTTGGTTGATATGCTAACCGAGTATCTAGAACTCCTGTTCTTGTTCCAAAAGGTAATCAGAGTTGCTCCGAAGCCCAGGCGTGCTAATGTGACTAATTTGGATTCGTTCTAGTTTGTCATACCAATAAACTATAAGAACCACGTTTTCTTTCCTCCAATCTGCCCAAGTGTTAGTTGCTATTCTAATGTGAACGTGGGTTAGTCATGAAGAGTATTTCACATCTGGGCCACCATGGTCTCATTTCCTAATAGGACACATCTCTGAGTTTTTACTGTGAAATCGGAATGTCTTCGTACATGCCTCAAATGCTCCTGAACGGTTGATCCATGCGTTTATATCGACAAGGATAGATATCCCCTAATGACTTCCATCGAATTCCAGCATCTTTGCTGGAATTCGATTAATCGATTGGGGATGTGACGTGGGAAGCAAACTCCTTGGGCTGGTTGGGCCCATGGTTGCAATCGCCATTAATACTTTGTTATGGGCCCAATTTCTCTAGATGGCTATTCTCAGCCGATCCACGTCTGCACTACTGCTGCTAAGATACATATCCAAGTTGGGTCCAGATTAACCCGAACATCTTACCCGTTTTACTTGAATTCAATTTAAACCGTGTCCGCATTGTCAATATCACAAGATTTAACTCGGACCGGGGAGTTATCCGAGTTCGATGGGGTTAGTGTGGACGGGCCACAGACGTGAGAGAGGTCCAT